TTGACAATACTGATCGTATTATGCAAGTTCAGTCTTAGCTTTGGCCATAAGACAATTTTTACAGAGTCCTACAGTTCTTTAGAAGTTTCTTTGTAGATTCTGCATTGTTCGGTGCTGATCAAAATCTGGATAGCTAATATCGAAAAATTCAGTAAGAATTCTTTGTAATTCATCATCTTTGGTTGAGGTTAGTTAAACATAAGGGGCTCTCATAATGAGATTGATTTCATCATTGGTATAGTTTTGGTTAGAGTGGTTAGTTGCTAGAGGTTTGAGTGTACTAGCAATCTGTTCATTATTTTCTCCTAGTTGGATTAGGCTAAGTGATAGATTTAACTTTGGTTGAGGTCATAAGTATATTCTACATTTCTGATAGACTTAGTATAATATTTAACTCAGGTCTACAGATTGTAGTGAGAGTTCTATTTAATATCTTTGGCAGCCTTGTAAGCATACAAATGCTCTAAGTTACAAAACTAGGCATCTTCTTCAACTGTATCCAGTTTGTACATTTTGGATTAATGTTGTTAGCTGAAATTGTTTTTAGTTTGTAGAAATATTTCGATATTTAATATTTAGTATGTCGAAATTCTAAAACAGTGCCGAAATTCTAAAATAGTGCCAAAATTCTAAATAATTTCGAAATGTCTAAATAATGCTGAAATGTCTAAATAAAGCCGAAATGTCTAAATAATATCGAAATGTCTAAATATGTTGAAATATCTAAATTAAAAGCATTAGTAAGCATCCGAACTGGTTTATTGTTGTAGATTTCATGTTATCTTAAAACAGATTCATTTCAAAAATAGCTGCTTTATGTACAAGCCCCCTACCAAACAGGTTTATTTATTAATTAATTATCGAAAGATATCTGAAAACTTTCCTACATCTATGCGTGATTTTTTCACTACATACGTATATATGTTCACAGTTTGTTAAACAATTATATCTTGAAAATGGAATACTATCGAGCCAAAAACGATTACTTTTATGTACAAGCCCTTTCAAGCAGGTTTATGTTGTACCCGGATTTGGAATCCGCTCAAATCGGAATCCGGCTGCCCTGATTCAGAATCAGGACAGCCAAATTTAGAATTCTTATACGGGGTACCCGGCTCACTATACTAATATTCTAACACTAATCCTAACCTTACTAATTATTGAACCGGGTACCCCGTATAAGAATTCTAAATCTGGCTACCCGATTTTGAATTGGGACAGCCGGATTCTAAATCGGGCAGATTCCAATCTGGGATACGACATATATCATAAATAATACTTGAAAATTTATACGTGCTTTTTTTTCATACAGTCACTGTGTATTATGTTCAGAGTTTGTTAATGATTATACCTTGGATCTGGATTACTCTTGCTATAGTTTGTATGACTACAATTAAAGTTTGTTATGCATGAAAGTTTATTTTAAATATGTCTATGCATGATTTTATTACTAGATTAGTAATCTTGCATTTAAAATCTTGTGCCGTAAGTAATAATTAAACATAAAAAAAAGTAATGCAATAATGAAGTAGTATAAAAAGGTGTGATTAGTGAAAAATGAACTCGTCTTTGTTGAATATAAATAATGTAAAAAGCAAAAAATTATGTAAAAAATAAATATACTTATATTTAAGTTTTTGTTAACTAGTATTTCTAATATGCATCAGTTTTATTATATGAAGGCTTACGATGTTTAAGTTTTAAACTTGGTTATTCAAGATTATAAATTTAACATAGCCCTTTTTATAACAAGTTTTTATTTAATTGAATGACAATATAATGATAAGAATTAACGTTAACTATTTAATTCAATGAGTTTATTTAATAAAAAAGGATTATATCACTTTATTTATAGCGATAATTAGAAAATACAAACATTATCAGTTTTTATTTTTACTTATAAAGATATTAGTAATTCAAGTTTTTTGAACTCTATATTGTGCTCATGAATACTTTTCTAGTGATCAAGCTTTTACAGGTTTAAGGTTGTTCTATAAATACAGTTTGCAATTAGGATTAAATAGTGCTTTGCTTTATATATTAATTAATAGTAATAGTAAGCAAAGATTCATATCAATTTATATTTTAAATCCAGTATTTAAAAAAAATTTTTTTAAATAAAACTTTTTTTTTAATCAACTGATTTAAAAAATATAAACTTTAATTTTCGCGGTCTTATTTTTTTTATAAAAAAAAATGAGCAAATCTCATTTTGATGAAAATTTTCAAGATAATACCTCACAAGATGAAAATTCTCAAAGTGAAAATCTCCAAGAATCTGTTTAAAAAAAGTCTGCTGGACGGCCACTTGCAGGAGTTTAGAATTTCTTCGACAAAGGTTCTTCTGTAAAAGGTCATTGTTTAGGACAGTGTAAGGAATGCAGTGCATTCTGGGCACGTGCCAAACCTATAGATTTAGAAGAACACTTGGCTTTAAATTGTCCTAATCAAAATAAGGATATTATAGATTTCTATACTCAAATTATTGCTAATCGACAAGGCCGTAGCCAGGCTGCATCTCAAGAAATTACACCTGGTGTTGAACTAAGTAAAAAAAAATGTAAACTAGCAGACGATCAAGCATCATTATCAGAGTTTTTAGAAAGCACCAAATTAACTCCACAGCATAAAAATAATATTAATTCAGCTTTAATTAAAGCATTTATAGTATGTAATATTCCTTTTTACATTATTAGCAATCCATATTTTATTGATGCATTATGAGAATTACGGCCTGGATATCAACCACTGTCAAGACAATTACTTGCAGATTGATTATTAAATGCTGAAATTATTAAACTCAATCAAAATATTAGAAATATTTTAGAAAAAGCCAACAATTAACTCTTGGTATTTTTTTTATAATTATTTTTACAGACCATTTATCCAACATCATACAGATAGCAATTTAGCATTTTATGAGTTGTATATATTGTAAGTGGAAATAGAACTATAATAGATTCGGAATCCACTTAGATTAGAATGGAATAATTATACTAACAATCCTCACTCTAACCTTAAAAATTATGAATCAACTTAAATTTTATTCTCACAATATATATATTGTTAGTAAATTGCTATCCAGTATGATATTAGGTAAATAGTTATAAGAAAATAACTATCAGAGAAATGAGATGTAATCTTATTTTATATTTTAAAATATGTTTAGACGGATGGACAGATCCAAGCGGAAAATCATTATAGAACTTTGTAATTCATACATCTGCGGACAAGAATATCTTTAGAAATTAGTTGACTTATCTAATCAGAGTCATACTGGAGAAACATTACAAAAATGCATTCAAAAAATATTTGATGAACTTGATGCACATAAGTTTGGAGCTATAGTAACCAATGGTGGCTCAAATTGTACAGTTGCGTGATGATTAATTTCTGAAACATATCTACATATTTTAAATTTATGTTGTATTGTGTATTGTATAAATTTAATTTCCAATGATATTTTAAAGCATAAATTTGCTAAAAAAATTCTTTATCAATGCTCTATGATCGTTAATTTTTTTAATTCATCGCATCAGTTACATTCTTTAATTATAAATAAGAATGTATATGGCGGTGGATTAAAAAAATATACCAAGACTCGCTGGACTAGTGTGTATGAATATATATATTCTGTATATTGTCACAAATTATCTTTGGAAGAGATAATTATATTTTAAATATATCATATATTTTGAAAAAAACTATTTGTACATTATGTGTATATACATGGGATATTAATCTGTAATTTACAAATTTTGTATAATAAAAAATTAAACTCAAGTAAAAGTTGTTTTGAGATTTGGAATAGACCTACCGTATAGTACTGCATATAGTACCCCCCCTGAAATAGTATCCTCCCTTTTTTTTACAAGCGATTTGTGGTCCAGTTTTCATATTAATAGTGCAATCTTTTTATTTGGTTTGATATGTTTAATAACAAAGTATATAGTAATCAATAACAAAGTATATAGTGATCAATAACAATTATTTGTGTTATCCTTCCATCCCTTGATATTTGGGAGGTATTATTCAATTTAGACTGGCTTTTTTGTAAAATATCTGGGATACTGTATGCAGTGCTATACGATAGTTTATACCAAAATTTTGCAAAAGAATTTTTTTTGTTAGAAGCCAAAAAGCAATTTCATAATCAAAATGTTGATTTCTATAGTGCCCGTGTATATACACCTATATACAAATAAAAATTGCCTATAATTTTATTATTTTAATAACCAATAAATTTATTTAAAGATTTTAGATCAAAATGCGCATTTATTCAATAACAAAACTGAAAAAATTGTCAAAACATATATAAAATATCGTGGATTCTTTGACAATGTCCTAGATGTTTCTAATATTTTAAAACCAATTAGTAATACTATTCTGTGTCTTGAAAGCAAAATGGCTAATTTGGCTGACTGTTATTTAGGTTATATTAAATTAGCTATCATTATTAAAAATATTTTTCAAAATCAGCATTTAATGTTTTATCGAAAATGCGTCTCAATTTTTAATGAAAGATTTCATATATTTGACTATAACGAATATCTATTAGCATATTACTTACATCCTAAATATTAGGTTTGTTTTTTAATTTATTAAATATTTATTATTATTTAAGTTTTTTTTTTTTTTAAACATATATTTACTAAAAAATATAGGTGCTGGAATTAAATCATCACAATTTGCTCGAGTAGCTGAAATTGCAGGCGTTTATAGATTAATATGGTTAGATCAAAAACTAAAAAAGGTGATCTAGAGATATTAAAAGCACAATTACATAAATATGCTTGCAATGAAGAACCTTATAATGGATCCTATGAATCAACTGTTGATAGCCCAATTCGATAGTGGAAAACTACAGGTAATGGTATTAAAGATAAATTAGGCCCACTTTCTTCTTTAGCAGTTAAGTTGTTTTCAGTATGTCCTCATGCAGCAAGTTGTAAGCATATATGATCATGTTGTGGATGGATTTTAGGAGATCGACGTAACAAGCTAAGAACAAAAAATTTAGAATCAATAGTAAAAATAAGTTCCTATTTAATATCAAATGCAAAACAAGAATTAAGTTTTTATGGGTTGGAATTAACTGAAGAGGAAATACAAACTGTTTTTCGAGATATTGCTTTGTTTTCTGAAGCTGATGAAAAAGAAGATTTTGATGAATTAGACGAATCTGAAGATCCTGTTGATCCTGAAATTGAAGCTCAAAACTTGGAAATTGAAAATTTAATAATTTTAAATAATATTGAATCAAATAATAACAATGAAAATATTAATAGTGATAATAATTTGGATGAAGACTTGAATAATGATAAAATCGAAGAATTCGATAAAGATAAATTTGGTGCAGAATTTAATCGATGTTCAATAATTAAATTAGGATCTTTTGCAGTACAGGTAACACATATTCTAAAACAATTGATTAATAATATATTTTATTAATAGGATTACCTATACTGCAAAAGATTTTTTAAATTTAGTTGATTATAAAAGTATCGAATATATAGTTTTTTTCAAATATCTAAACTGCCCGTTAGAAATAAAATATGCATGCTTTTTAAAATTATCCTCTTAATGATATAACCTCTTAACCATGTACTATACCAGAGCTTATTGTAGGTTTTAAAATCGGTGGAATGTAAAAGACCTGGGTCTTTTACGTATCTGGCCATTTACAATACTTGATTACATAATTTTTATAAAATTAATTTTGCAAAGTGACTAAGTCAGCATTATCACAAGATCATGTATATTACGTCAAAATGATATTTTTTTTGAATTATGACATATATCATGTACATAAGGGGCATACATAAAGATTTTCATTTCGCTTTATGATATTAGGCTAGATTTCTTATTTCAACCCACTGCCCAAAATAAAGTTATTTTTTATAAGTCACGACTTTAGGGCTGTTTGATAGTGAAAGGCTTCATGACTGCTTAGCAGTGCAAGAACTTATAATCTAATTAGTCATAGCTTCAAGATTGTGATTACACAACTCTTGGACTATTTGATAAAGAAGCTTCTACGCAGTATAGGCAGTGTGATTGTAATCTTAATGCTAAACAGTAATTAGAGACACATCCAACAGTAAATGTAAGTATAGTAAGACTCGGTTTAGTTAAATTAGTCTCCAGTTACTAATGATGCTTTTCAAATTACTATTGTAAGCAACACTCTGTGAAGAAATAGTGCGACAATATATATCGTATTTAAAGTGCAAGTGAAAGATGATAAACATGTAGAATTGTATTTAAATTGTAAGCAAAGGAAATGAATATGATAGTATGAAAATGACTTTATAAGAATAGTAAATGGCATGCCAAAGAGAATGTGAAGTGAACCATATTCCATATATTTATTCTCGTGTATTTACCAACAAAGTGATCGAGGATAATAATTTAAAATTAATACAAGTCAAATAAATAAATATACATGCAATATGAATACAACAAAATATATAATTCTTTTGTATTATCAATTTAGACATTTAGTTATATAATATTTATTTAGTCAACTATTTAGACATTTAGTATAATATTTATTTAGTCAACTATTTAAACATTTAGTTAAATTTAGGATTTTGATATTTTGACAAAAAAATAGCATCATGTCGAAATATATTTAGACACAAATTGTCTAAATATTTGACTAAATAGGGTATTTCAACTAACAACATTATTCTGGATCTAATAAATTCTTCGCTACAGACTTAACATTTAGTTAATATTCCTTGACTATCACCATTGATGAAGTATTCAATGCTTCAAGGGTCATCTCAGTCTAATTTATAGTGGAAGTTAGTCTAGTATGCTCTACAGACTAGATTCTGATCAAGCAATCTAAGTTCTTCGGGTCTTTGAGACACTTTGCATTGACAACAATGGTGGGTTCTTCTTCATGAGTAGTAGGTTTGCCATTGGTTGTTTACTTTGTCAGAGGAATATCCATATCTATATCTTTGATTATCCAACTTATAACCAGCAAGAGGGCAGTCGATTCTGATATGATTATATTGATCATATTGGTGACATCTATTTTGAGGACAGTTTCTATAAAGGTGTCCAGGTTGAGAGCAGGTCTTGCAAATATCTCTCTTTGAAGTTTGATGAGAGCAGTGAGCAGAAATATGTCCATATTGATGACAATAGTGACATTGGTTGTGAGGGCAATCAGTGAAAAGGTGACTAACAAAGTTGCATCCTCAGCAAGTTTTACTAAATAATACTTGAAGAGTTTGGCGTTTGGATCTGGAGATTTGGATGGTCTAAAAGTTTTCATTGGTTGAGATTATAGGAATAATAGTATAAGCTTCCTTGAGAGTAAGATATTCCTGTTCGAATTGAGCTAATTCTCTTTCATCAGTAACAGTAGGTTGAGCAGATAGAGGTTGGTATGTTTATAGGTAGTAGAAACATGGTCTTCTTTTTGTTCTATCAGATAATATAAGCCTTATTTTTCTAATTATAACTGGCTTCAACTTTCTGTGACCAGTCATTTCCTAAGAGCAGAGAGTAGGAAGTAGCAGACATTACTTCTACATCTAGAGAGATAGTAATTTCTTCGATTTTAACAGGAAGGTTTTTGATAATTTCTAAAGGTTTAGTAGAGGGTCCTGTGACTGATACAATTAAGCTAGTGGAGGAAGCTTTAATCTTCAGACCAAGTTCCTTGAAAATTTGATGTGAGATCATACTAATTGCAACACTACTATCAATAATAGCATGATAGAGTCTGTTTTTGAGTTTAATATTACATTTAACAGAAGTAGTATAAGTTGGTATCTGTGTCTGGTTAGAGGTGCTAGATTCTTCAACAAGATAACTAGTTAAGGCTGTTCTAATTGATTTGTTGACTAAGAAAGTTTTAAATTGTTCATAGGTATAGTCATTGGCAGTATCTGCAGTATATATATTTCGAAGATAAGGAGTGGAGAATCGGCTTTGAGACCTATTGTTTTAGTTATAGAAGAAGCAATTGTTAGAGTAATATCTATTATGAAATTGGCTTCTACTTCTGGATCTATTACGTTGGTCATAGTCTCAATTTCTGGATCTGTCCCAGTTGCGAGATTGAGATCTATCATAGAATCGATTATTTTGAGAGAAGTATCTATAGTCTCGACTAGAAGAGTAATAATTTCGAAAGTTCCTTCAGCTATCCTCTTTTTTGATTCTGCAATCTCGAATAAAATATCCTCTGTTACCATAGTAGTAACAAGTAGCATCTTGGGAATTGTTGTTGTTATCTCGTCAGGAGGAGTTATTATTATTGTTGTTGTTAGTTTCAGAGTAATAGACAGGAGTAGTAGGTTGTTATGCAGCTAAATTGATATTTAGTTTAGCAAGTTGTTCATAAGTCATTCCATTACTTGGGCATTGCCATTACTATTAGTATTATTTTAGCGGCCATAGCTCATCCGGTTTCCTATCTTCGGGCTTCTCTTATAGCAGCATCTAAATCAGCAGGTTCTGTAGCTTGTACATTAATAGTATACTTGTGGCATAGTCCTTGAATTAAAAATTAGACTAGCAGAACTGCAGAAAGACGATTAGCAGGGTCTTCCACTCAATGATATAATCATTTAAATTGACTAACATAAGTGTCAACTGTGTCTTGTTCTTGTTTAATTTCAAAAGACTGTTTTTGTCAAGTAGCTTTTTGTTTAGAGGTATTGAATTTTTCTTTAAACAAGTGACTAAAACTCATAATATCAGTTCCATTAATATTAGTTCTATATTAAGCACTATAGTAGTGATTAGGGGCATTAGCAAAGCTAGTGAACTATTCTTAGGCATTGTCCTTCATATATGCAGCAGCTAATTCCAACTGTCAAGCAGCACTCCAGTGGTTGGCTTTAGCAGCATGGTTAAATTCTTCTATCCATGTTATAGAGTCTTGGGTTCTATCACCTTGATAGAAATCTATTTTGATAAGAAACTTTTCATCACCACATTTAAGAGCAGCAGCTACAGCAGCCATAGCTTCAGCAGCCTGAGTAAGAGCTTGGTTAGTTTGGTATACTATATGATTGTTAGGTTCTTCGTTGTCAGTTACAGTAAAGTTGGTTTCAGCATCAAATACTTGTTCGTTTATTTCTTCTTCAGGTGGTTTAGTATTATTATTATTAACTTGGTTATTATTAGAGTCTTCTAATAGAAAGGTAGTAGGAGGTTAATTTCGAAATGAAGAAGGTGTATTTAAAGGAGTTGTGCTAAGATTTAAGTTAGTTTATAGGTAGGCTCCAGGTGCAATAGGTGTATTAGTAGGAGGTAAGTTAGTAGTAGATATAATATAATTAAATAATTAGGTAAATCGATTAACAGGTTGGGTCTGAAGGAGATTAACTACAGAAACGGGTATAGTATGTAAAGAAATATCAGTATAAAGAGAATCAGAGATATTAGATCTAAGTGAAAATTGAATTGGAGTTGTATTTTCATCGTAAGGAGGTAAAAAAAATGTTAAGATAGTTATATTAGAGATATCTTTTAGGTCTCCTGGTTGTAAAACAGGGCTATGTTCAGGTAAATTGCTAGGATATATATAAGTATTTTCACTTTGGGATGTGGAGGTGATAGGTAAACTAGAGTCCTCTAATTCTTGGTCAATGTCAGTGATTTGATAGACACTAGGTGTATACTCAGGGTCTTCAATATAGGGATTAAAAATGTTAAAAACAAATGTCAGAGGCAAGTAAGAAGCAAGCCAATATTTAGTATAATTAGTTAAAAAGATAGTTGCTATTCAGTGAGGACTTTTAAGAAGAAGTCGATATCTGCAACTAAAGATAAGATTTCTAACTGAAACTCGAGCTAAAGGGTAGTCAGAGTCTGTGATTAGATCAAGGTGAGCTGCAATTATTATCTGGATATAAGAAGTAGCAGCAAATTGTTATTGATACCAATTTTAAAAACTATGGAAAGAGCGATGATAGTTGCGACCAGAAAAGCAGTGTCTACATGAATCATCAGGTGAAAGTACTTGGAAAGTATTATTAGAAAGACTAGTATCTTCATGGTCTTGTATGTGTCTTCTAATTTGTTCTAAATATAACTTGTATGCTCGATACATATAATGCTGTAAGCAAACTCTTGGTTATAATATTTAATTAAAAGTGTTCTGGTTGTTGTGATAATCTTGGGTGGAATTATTTATATCTACACTTTGGCTCGTAGATAATTCACACTTAATCTTCCTAATTAAGGTTCGCAGTAAGCTGCTAGCTATCTCTTGGGTGCTATAAAAGCAGAGGCTTCAAGTGTGCCCTTTTAAGCAAATCTCTCTCAATTTGTCAGGACTTCCTAGGTTGCTATGAAAGCAGAGGCTTCAAGTGTACCCTTTTGAGCAAATCTCTTTCAATTTGTCAAGACTTTTAAAGACAATCTATTACTCTTTAATAATAGCTGGGTCATAAATAAATATCTTCTTGGAGAGTGAATCTGGCAGAGTTTCCCTTAAAGTATAAAACTTTAACTACAATAGAAAGGTCAAACGTTTAAGGTGTTAATACTATATTAACAAGGTTTGTAACTTAGAAAGGAAATGTAAGTGAGCTTTCTACGAATCTAAAGAAGGTGAAATTATCCAAATCAGTTAAGCAGGTGACGAGATATGAAGAGTCAAGTTTATGTAATAATGTATGTAGAGACATGATATATAGTAAAGAAAAGAGAATAAAAACTTTGATGATTTTTAAAGCGATAGGAAAGTGTTTTGGTATTAAGTAACCTATATACTAAAAGATAGAGAATGTTTTCAAGAACATAAAGAAGATAAAATTTTTAAAATTGGGCAATATTTGTAGAGTTATTAAAGAAAAACTAAAGCTAATAGAGATTTTAGAACAAGAATTTTTCTTTTCCACCAGAAGGCACCAAATTGTTATAGGTAAATTGTAGCATTCTTAATACAGTACAAGTAATAAAGCACACAGCTATAGAGCTCCATTGCGAGATTATAGTGGTGTGGAAGTGGAATGTTACTTTACTAAGAGCAGTTCGTAGAAAGTATATAGTTAAAGAAAGATATATTTTATTTACAATATATAAGACTTTAATTACAAGAAAGAA